TGTGTGTGTGTGTGTGTGTGTGTGTGTGTGTGTGTGTGTGTGTGTGTGTGTGTGTGTGTGCCTGCATGTCTATAGTCGCTCTCATCTCTTCCTCTGATATTCCCCAACACAAAAGCATTATTTATCATCAGACCGTCCCAGGCTCGTCCACGTCTCTGCTTTGAATCACATCCAGGGATTCTCTGATCCCAGGTCAAATATTCACATCTCCTCCACCCACCTCCTTCATCAGGGGAGCAGTTTACTAACTGACAGTCAATGCTTTACTCCTGCAGCCTGCGGATGTGCTGACTTGGAACCTGGTGTCTGTTTACCTCATAGCTCCCAGGTGATAAACAGCTCCGAGGCAGCAGCAAATACATCCTGAGCCGGGCGTCAACGGGAGTTAAAAGAGAACTAAAGTTTCACACAGACACAGGCGCGTTTGACCTCAAGACCACTTGTCTGTAAAACGATATGTTAAAAGAAACATAAACAATAAAGACATAAACTACTCCGAGGCATCTCTTCCCTGTGAATTAAGTAAACCACAGATTTCTGCTCTAATTAATTAATGATTAATAATCTGCTTTTGACCAAATTGATTAGATATGTTCCCATTCTTATATCAAAGGTTATTTAATTGTCTGGAATGGATCTATTTGCGTGATGTTTGGTGAATTATGCTCATTCTGTTACACATGAATTCAGATTTCTGCAGGTGCCACAGGTGATATGACCATTATGACATCCTGCTTTTTTTGTACTTCTGTGAAAATGAGTGTGTTAAAGTTTTTGCTGAGATAGATGAAAGCGTTACTTCTGTTCTCAATCTGTCTGGTGAATATGACTTTACAACCATGAGATATAAGCTTAAAGACTGGGCACAGAGTAAAACTGGACTCCTGTCAACACCATTAAGTTGAAGGGAAGACTCCTAGTTAAGAAGCAAACCAGCATCTAACTCCCAGTAAAACAACAAAGTCTTACTTTTCCATTTCAGTTTTAATTTCGAGCGTTAGAGGTGCTGAAAGGCATTACTTTTCTAATCTTTTGTCTCAGCCAGTCTGGCTTTTTCCTTGTGTTTCAGGTGTTAATGTGAAAATAACTGTCTCCTGAGAGTGTTATTAACTCCTCAGCTAATTCCCAGAAAAGAAGTGAAGCAAATTCCTCCCAAAATGTCGAATTACTTTAAAATTAGAGGAAAATTGAGGTGGGGATTGGGGTTAATAGAGAGTGTATGCGTGTTTAATGGCGCTCAATGTGAATTCATTGTGAATACCTTTCTATGCAACTGCACCGTCCCAGAGCTTTATAATCACAATGAGACCAAAAGATCTTAATGCCTCTCAATCCCTGCACGGATCCCCATCTCGCTGAAAACCCCAGGACACAAGTTTAGCTGGAATGTCCTCAAGTAATCTTCAGCCGGTGGATGATGTGTTCTTGACCCGTACTTGTCACACGCGAGTCTGAGGTCAAGCGTCTTCCACCTCTGCTGGCCATGTCCCTTTGAGTTTGATCACATAAAGCAGAGGTGGTGTTGGAGTGGGGATTCACTGCAGTGACTCACTATAGTTGCATTTTCCCTTTCAGTCTGATCTCGGCTCTATTACACAGTATTTTGTGACGTCTACTTGCATAAAAAACTCTGTAAAAACTGTCTTTGTCTAAAAATACACTGACATTCAGAAACAAACAGAAATGACTTAAATTAGCTTTTAAACATGTGCGTCACATCCCACCATTTATATTTGCAGATTACTTGACTGCGTGTTGTGTATTGTCACCAATTTGTTCTTAAGAGGATTTTGTGATTGTCCTCATTGATTGCCCCCCCCCCCCGGAGATGTAAAAGGAAGCATTTGTTATTGGTCGTGCTCCGAATGGCCTTCATCTTGATTATGCTGAGGTGGAGGTAATTTCACTATTGATCAGTACAGCTGCTCTGTTTGTGCTCATTAACAGTACGCTGTGTGTGTACCATAGTGTGTTCAAGTGAGCGTGTGCGTCTGTGTTTGTGCGTGTGCTGGTATTGTATTGTGATTGCTTCAGTAAACACGTATCGTTTTATCACTGAGACAATTAATCTCTACCGTCATCAACACTGATCAATTAATTGTATATTAGACAAAATTTTGGTCTCTTAATGAAATGAATCTAATTTCCATGTGAGTGTTAAATAAACTGAAAAGATAAGATGCTCTGTTTAAATGCACCTGACATGATATAGATATGAATGCAGAATTGCTGTTAAAGAATAATCCACTTCCATCAAGTTATGTGAATCATAAGAGACAGATTAATTATGTCCAGTCAGAATCCTGCATCATCATCATCAATCCTGCAAGATGCAAACAAGAGATAAATTGACTCATGGTGTAAGTCATTAGAGCCTGATCGATTTATGGATTAGAAGATAAAAATCGAGCGATATAAGCGTTGGTGTCAGCCTTTGTTTGCAGATATGTGCTGATATAGAAATGTAATTCTCCAGGGTAAACACTGCAGAAAGATTTCTGTTGACATTTTATTTGTTTTCTTTATTCATTTGGTTGTATTTGTGTTTCCCCCTTTTATTCATGATCATTTATAATAAAATATATGCTGTAAAATATTGCCGAATTTACATTTCTTCATCATACAGGTTTGCTTACGACCAAGTGTTCATGATCACGTGAAACAAAATCGTCCTTGTAATTGTCGATTCATGTTTTCCGGCCAGGTCGCTGGAAAGGAAACTGCAGAGACCCCTACTGGCGAAGTCCCGCACCCTTCCCAGCATTCCCCAGTCACCAACGGTCTCCAGGGTCCACCACTCCGATCTCATTGGTGGGAGTCCCCCCCGCAGGAAGCACCTGTCGACTGCGACCAGCCACCCAAAGGCCTGCACTCTGCCTCCTGCAGGTAAGCGGACAATGAAACAGCCACGATATTTTACAGTTAATAATCCTTTAATCCTTTAAGTGGCCAGGTAAAACATACTTCTTGCTCTTAACAGCACTGTTGGACTTTACTTGGCTTCTGGGAGATGAGCTGTTTTTTTCAGACCTCTTGGCCCGTAATGTGACTCCCTCTTGAACTCTGTATTACTGAGCCAAATGATCGGCTATCAGGGAGGTACCTCACACTGCTGATAAAAGCGTGTAAAGGCCACCAGAGCGTAAACTGCAGTCTTCTTAGATATGTCAGACATGTCAGCCTTTTTAATTTCCTCTTCTAAAAACACTTGGCTCCCTTTATTATTTCCTCCACCTGATGGAGAGCACACTGCAGCTGGATGTGTCAGCAGGAACGTGCAGGGAAGAAAGATTCACTACCCCCATTATCTCGTTTTTCTTTCCCTTCTTCCCTTGCTTATGAATCACTGTGTGTGTCACTGAGGCTGTAACCTGCAGACAGAGAGAGTTTTTATTCTAATGACAGACGAGGTGTTTTTAAGGATGAAAACATTTATCGGTGGTAGAGTATGATGGAGTATTTGGGCCTTGAAGAAAAACTAAATCTGTGGAGAAAGATGTAGTAATGTTACAAGAATAAGGTCATAAAGTTACATTAACAAAGTTGCATCTAAGAAGAAAGTCATAACATACAAGAATAATGTTATTATAATATTACACAAGTTGATGATCTTCTGATAATCCCCCTCTACAATGACACGTATCTTACATATTTTACTTAATTCACATAAAAATACAACTTTATTCTTTTAATGTACTTTTTTCTCATAATTATTTTCTTCTCGTAATCTCAGATTCCTTTTTCCCTTTAAGTGCTCCTATGTGCTGTTGTAGTAGAGGATTACTATAGAAGTGTGATTTATACTGATCGACAGCAGCTGTTCTACAAAAACGACCGATTCCCAGATGTCCAATCCATAAGCATAAACTGAGAAATTCCTTCATTAACAAACTATAATTGAATTCGCAAATGAACAGAAATTAAAATATGATGAAAAACATACAACAATATAGAGACAATCATTTTCGGGTTAGTCCAAATAATGTAGTTTGGTGAATATGAAATTTAGAGCTGCCAGCAGCCGTCACATCCGAGCTCAGCGCTGTAGAGTCAAAGCAGGACATGCCTCAGGCGAGACAACCTTACGCCTCTCCTCATTCACATGCGATGACAGACACACTCACAGTCAGCAGCAGTCTGTCACTTCTGATTGATGTTGTTCAGCTTGACATGATCACAGATCCCCGCCACCGCCGACTACATGAGAAGTGGCACATTTCAAGTGTTGGGGTGAGGGAATATGCTGTGCGATCATCCTTATTTGCGATGTTTAATACAGAGGGAAGATTGCACTGGAGGCACACACACACACAGCCCTTCCCATTCTCTCCTCTGTGCAGCAGAAAAGAAATATGCAACTCTACAAAGAGAGAAAGGCAACAGCAAACATCAGAGAGGGGGAACTTATTAAAATAAGGCAAAGTCTTTCCTCTTGAAGTAAACCAAAGTCCCACTGGATTCACAGAGAGACACAGGAGGTAGCAACTTCCAAAATAACTCAAACAGACTCAAACATTTTCACAATATAATTAAACAACACAGTCAAAATCCTGCGTCCTGCATGCAGCGGCGGGGATCCTGCAAAATATTGTCAGGGGAACTTGTCTTATTGTCACTTTTAATTAAATAATTGATTATTAAACTCGTAGGTAAACGCTTCTGTTAACAGCTTTTTCAATTTATGCAGAAAGCTGTTTATAGAGATTAGCCAAATCCACACATAGAAAAATGATCCCTGTTGGTGTTGTGTGAGGAATAATGTTTGATTTGTGATACGAGAAACAATCTATATTGATCGCTGGCCCCCGAGGCCAATTCATCAGCAGACAGTGGCCGATGGGCTGTGAGATTTGAGCGCCTCCATCTGTAGAATGAGACTAAAGCCCCATTTTGAGTCAATTTCAGACTATTAGGGTTCCATCCTTACTAACTCTGGAGCTACTGTGCATTCATTCAGTGTTGGTGATTGAGTTAGGATAATGTTAGAAGCTGACATATAGCAACACATTCCTCCTTTTCTGATCCTGCCTTCTTTCTCGATAGCTTCCTCTTTCTGGCTGCAGCTTCTCTTCTTTCTCAGACTCCCTCGACACAGCACTCACCACTGAGTCACCAAGCAAATTCTAAAATGTATTTTGACCTGAATTACAATATAAATTATCATATATTGAGGCAACCTAAAAAAAAACCTCTCCGGACATCTTCCACTTCAACACACCAAGAGCAAGAGTGAGCTTTTATTTTACATGTTGCTCCTTAACTGTGAAAAAAAGAAACATGAACGTTGAGTCAACCTGAGCCCTCGGTGCTCTAATCCACTCAGTCTTTACTGTTACTATACGTCTAATGATCCTGGACTTAAAAGCATCCTCTCTGATTGGTTTATTCTGCCCAAGTGCTTTCTCTTTATGTCCTGACTTAACCCACCCCAGCCTCATCGTCTGTGTCTGCTTCCCCTCGCCCTACACCGCTCTGTTGCAAATATCAAATTGAGAGAGACTTCAGTCTAACGTGGCCCCTTGTTGCTTAGCAACCACTGTCAATGACCATGTCTACCTCTCTCTCTCCCTCTTTATCTCTCTAGTATAGTCCTGAGACAACTTTGGAACAAAAAAGGAAAGAAAAAAAAAATCAAGATGTGAAATAAGCCAGCTACACTTCATTCAGCGTGTGGAGCCAGATGTGTTTTGACTGCTGCTCGGTCAGTGGAACAGATGCTGTAATGTTTCACACTCACAAGACCATTCATAAGCTGCAGCCTCTGCTAAAATACCTGCTGTCAAAAAAAAGATCATAAAAGATGTCACTACAGGGTTATTCTTAATATATAACTTCAGACTTGAGTGGATAAGGCTCAAAATTATTTGAAACAACCCACTAACACCCACTGGTATCTGGCTTTGGTCTGCAATGGGAATCCATATAATCTGCATTCACTCCCAGGTCAAATGACTCTGCAGTAGACATTGTTTTTTATCGGCTCCAGCTCAGATCTGCAGTGATGGAAACATGACACCTGGGTGTATGCAGCATTTGTTCTTCTTCATCGTAGCAGTCTAGACGTTGATGCTGCACTTTTTCTGTGCCACATTATGATGCACATCGTTGAATGTTTGTGTTCATGCTGTGTTTTACATTTTGGGAACAACAGCAATTTTCTTCTCTTCTTATCTTGCAAAATGCGACACCGGCTAGACAGCGAGGTGAGAGAGATTCTCAGTTCCTGGCACGTTTGTGACGTCGGACATGACTCACTGGGGAAAAAATACAGAGAGGCAAACTCTAGAGAGGCAAAGTAAAAGAGGTAGAGCAGGAAAACATAAGTTTGTATGATCTATTCACTGCAATACATGATCCAACTGATCCAACTGACAGATCTTTTAATAGAAGTCGTTTAAATACTACTAATACTATAGTATCTGTAGTGTTTGTATGTTCGCAGTACTTTATTTGCATCATTATTATTGACCATAGATATTGCAGATGTGGCTCAGAATGGTAGAGAAGGCATTCCGAATTGTTTTTGAGCAAGATACTGAACCACAAAGTGCCCGTGATGTGCTGAAAGTGTGTGAATTGTGTGTGATGGAAAAAAGTGTTGTGTATTGACGAGCTGTATGAATGAGTGAATGCTACTTGCAAGTGCTTTGAGTGTTGATAAGTCTGGAGAAGTGCTACATAAATACAGTCCATTTACCGTTACAGAGACTATCAATGCAGTATTTATATTTTATGGTCTAAAAAGTCCTGATTTAGACTTTAACTTGGTCTTTTTAATGACTTGACAGCGTCCTTTGCCTTGATCGACAGACTTGCTGCAGCTTACCCAGCATGCATCAGATTCTGTAAGTAACTGAAAGATGAACGAGCGCTTTATGAGTGCTGTTAGACGGGCGGCCGAACGCTGACAGGACGTCTGACGGATGTCAAGCGCGGAGTGATGGAAGTCGGCTGTGATTAGTGCAGCGGAGCTCTGTTCTGTCAGCACACATCCATCTCTGCTGTGTGACTGTGGAAAGCTACGCCATCATGTCTGAGCTGCAGTTCTTTTCCACGTGTCATTATCATTGCAAATTTGTTCCTTACGCTTTTTCTTTTTTTGTTTTTTACATGAGACATTTCTATCCAGCGTTCGAGTCATTATCAAGTTGTTTAAGAGGCAGGCTGAGAAAAATGTCCCGGAGAAAGAAATGTCACCTTAAAAAAGAAGCTTAATTACAATCAGGAAATATTTTATGGAAGCAATCACCGGATGACAGTCAATAATTTGTGGAGTGTGTTTGTGCTAATTGCTTTGTAGAAACAAATATTCATCATCTGTCCAACCTGTCTTGTTCTCATGTGTCTTCTGTCTCCTGCAGCCTATCCAATAATGTGTCCTTTTTCCTTCTCTAACCTTCAAGGGGAACTCTGGCGTTTGGAGGATGATATGGACTGCGAAGATGGGCCCGAGCATGGCGGGTGCACAGAGGCGCGCCCTCGCTCCCAGTCACCCTTTTCCCATTTCCGGGCGCGATCTGCCTACCTCCGCAAGAGCGTCTCAGCAGACGACCACCTGGACATGGGCGTGGACCACTGCTCGGGGACGGTGGTCGAGGACAAACCAAGCCATGGCAGTAAGGGCAAGCTGAAGAGGAAGTTTGTAAGTAGGATCTGTCATTTCCAGTTTGAGTTTGTCGATCTACCAAAAGTGTGTGAGGCTGAATGATTCACAAAATGTTCATAACTTGGCTTTGGTTTAGACAGAAGCGTTGTGTTGAATGAAGTTGACCCTTCAGAGTTTGGTTCACTACATCCGGTCATTAGCAAAACATGGTCTTTCCTAATAACTCCTCCTTGACCTTGATGTAGAATATAATGAGGTAAAGGAATGACATGGAGGAGAATTCATAAGGAAAAGAAGTAAGGGGCGGATATTGTTTATGTGGAGCAATGCAAAGTGGGAAATTATTATCTCCTTCCCTTTCATAAAGAATGGATCGGTGTCTCCTATCTTTAAGGACACAATAAAGGAAGCATTAAAGCCCCTCTCTTTCTGCTGATATGTTCTGCTGAATTCAAAAGTCTGTGTGTGAGTTTCATCAGATACTTAGGGGCAGTGTTGGTAGGCGTGAGCAGCAGAATGGAGGAAACCTACATTAAAGATTGAAGACCTCTATATTGTCCCTTTGTCACTGGATCAGGTAACTGGAGACCTCATTACCAGCCTAAGCTTTGTAATTGATTCTCAAGTGTCACAGGGGCAACAGGACACCAGGACACTGTAGGAGAGGACAGTCTGGTGGAAGAGCCTAATGTGTACGATTAGAGTTTTTGGCTTTGCTAATGGTTGTCGATGGATGCTGTCTAAAACATGTCAGGAAGGAAGATATTACAGTGATAAAGTTTCTGATTGCTTGGTGTAGTGAAGGAATCACATCTCGGGATCTAATCATAAGTAGATGAGAGAACTTTCTGGTCTTCAAATGAGGGATTAAGGACTTTTTATTCATCCTCACGTGGGCTCATGAAGCAGACCTCGCTGATCGCTGTTAGCTGTCAGAGAACGAAGTCAGAGCGGCAGATCCGTCACTGAGCCAAAAAGGAAAGGAGTTCATCATACTAACAGCTGCAGCATCTCGACTTGAAATGGGGACAGCTCTGGATCTGATGACCTGCCGCGTGTGTTTCGGGGTGAGATATCACGCAGTCTTGTCTCGCAGTAGCACACAGCATCAGAGGACGTATCAGAAATGCCTTATTAATGAATCCTTCCTGTGTTCTTATATCAAACTAAAGCATTGCATCCCTGAGTTTACACTCTTATGCAACATAATACATTTGGCGGATGCCATTTCTTCAACCGTTTTTGTGCAGCTCCACAGGGAGTGCATTTCTGCCAGCCTAATAAGAAACGGATAGAAATGTTAAAATATATAAACAGACCGCCCAGATAGACAGGTTATATAATATTTGGTTGTAGGTTTCAACTCTTATTTTGTTCTTATAAACACTCCACGTCTGTGTCTTTCAGTTTCTCTCACCCTGCAAGAGACAAGTATCATTTTAAAAACTTGTGAGAAAGTGAAAGAAAGATTTCTGTTTTCACAGTAAGGGTGTTTTTCTTATGTCTTCCACAAAAAGGGTGTTTTTCTTATGTCTTCCACAAAAAGTCATTTACGTAGCCTGTCCTCTCTCCGTCTCAATCATTCTGTTTCCCTCTTTCTTTTCTAAACAAAAATCCAACCAGCGGTGTCGGCACGCTGGGTATGGATGCGAGGAGAATAAATTTGGAGCGGCCCATTGTCGCTCATCACTTACATGCTCTTCGGGGCACCACTTGCTTCTTGAAAATTACAGCGAAGAAAACAACCGAGGCTCAGCCCGTGGGCTCAAACAAACAGCAGCTGTGGCATTTTACTTTTGGAGGCTGACGGTGACACGGCAGGGCAACGGTGCTTCGTTATCAGGTCGATGATGCAGCAGCACATTAGTTATTCTGAACAGTTGTTGCTGGTGTCTGCCAAGTACACTTCTATGATTTGTGTGAAGACCTTTAGAATGTATTTACATATGAGGGGGAAACCATAGACCCTAAATAAAGACGGACGTGTCTCCACTTCCTCCCACTATCCAGAAACGAAGTTAGGCGCTACGGTAGCGAGATCCCACCGATACATGTGCTCGACCAATCAGTCTCCGCTGTCAGTCATGACGATTCAACCAATTTATATAGTTTCAAATAACTAATTCAAACCAAACCTACCATAGAAAATAAGCACTTAAACAATGGGTGTGATGAGAGCTACCCATAATGACAGACACCATCTTTATGTGACGTGTACGTTGCCATTTTCAGTTTGGTCCATGTCCCATCCACTAACATGGAGGAGGCAGGGTTTATGACCTATACTGCAGCGAGCCACCAGGTGGTGATGGAGAGGATTTGGCATGTCATCCATCTTTATATACGGTCTGTGTGAGAGAGGATGTGTAATGTGAGTGTGTTGTAAAGTATAAGGGGGTGAGGTGGGGGTGGGGTGTCCCTACACTTGTAACACTGCCAAACTGTGCATTACGCTGGAAGTTAATTATGTTCCGAAGCAGCAGTGTCATGTCGTCCGCAGCAACTTCCCCTCTCTAACATCACACTCATCAATCTGCCGCATATTTTCTGTGCTCAAGGGCACGCCTCTACTGTTCAGCAGCACGTACTTCAATAAAGTTATTTTCATTTTCACGTCTGAGGTTAAAATAGCAATAATTCCCTGTGTATTACTCACAAGAGAAGCGACATGTGATTTTACAACATCATTCACATCTCTTTATTCTTTGCTCAGCTGATGGAGACTATTTGTCCACTTGCCAGTGCTCGACAAGAATCCTGTGTGTTCAGCAGCTGCTCTCATTTACTCTGACCATAGTTGTATTTTCAGACCAAAGATAAACAGATGATTAGAGCCTGACCGATATGTATCACATCGCAGATTAAAACATTTCCAACACTGAAATATCGTCTCATACATGAAAATTCCATTGATTCCTAAGATGCCGTTATTAAACCTTTATCACAAAGACTTTAAATTGAGGCTTAAATTCTAACCATAAACATTATTATAAATAACTATAAATAAAATGGAAACGCAAATATGTATATTTTGAATTGAGAATATAGCATGATTTTTTTAACGTTAAATGTAAATGCACATCTTTTCTGTATTGTTTACTCTGTAAAATAAAAGAAAGGCTCATATCGGTCAATTTTATTGACCAACTGATACCAGCTGAACTCTTCCTTTAATAATAATCTTGCAACAAAGCATTAAAAGAAATTGTAGTTAATGCTACTGCTTCATCTGGCAGCAACGAGGAGAACCTTCATCTCTGATGATAATAAATGGAAATGCACTTTCTGACAGAATCTCGATTGGATTGGAAAGTGGTCGTTATTTATCTTCCTGTGCACGTGGCGTATGTGCATGGTTTTATGTCACTTAAATATCAGGTTTATCTGCTTGCTGTTGTGGAACTGTAATAAATGCTGCCTGCAGAACAGCCGGGATCTGTCGCCATGATCACTTGCGTCAAATTTGAGTCCCACCTCTTATCTCCTGCAGCTGTACAGTGAGTTGACATCTGGACTCTGATCTAGAGTCACCTTCATGCTGCCGGAAGCTTCCTGAGAGGAAGACAAATTATATCTGAAGGGGGTTGTCATTGAAAATAATAATAATAAGGAAGATGGTAGCTATAGGGACAAAACCCCTGTTACCTCAGGGAACCTTTTTTCTTTCATTCTGCTGAAATACATTCAATATTTGTGAGTTTAATCTCTTGAAATACTGTAGTTTAATTGTATTTGATTTATTTGATATGTGCGTGCCAGAGTGAGTAACTCTTTAGGGTGAGAAAACCACATAATCTGTTATTTTGTGTGTTTGTTTTTTATATAAACATGTGTCTGAGTGTACAAATGCACTCAAAGCGTAATAGCAGCAAGCTAAGGGCCTGAGTAACCACATCATCAAAGTACAGACCGTATCATTTCTGTTGATCGAGCAGCTGTAACTACATAATGCTTTGTTGGTGCTTATTTGCAGCACTTCAGTCTGAAACACACTGCTCGCCGGATGACTCACAAGTTTCTCTATTAAACGAAACAAGGGGGAGTCAACGCAACTCAAATTATTCATAAACCAGCGAATGCCACAATTTCCTGATTCACTGTAAACCCACGGGAAACACCACAAGGCAAATCTCACACAGATCACGTACGCAGGCACATACTGACGAACATGAGGGTCTTCGGAGGAAAACTCAGTGGTCGCCGGTTAGTCCAATGAGGCGAATGATATTCAGCTCATAGCTTTTGGTCAAAAGGCTCAGGGTTGTCTGGATTGGTTTTGGAAATATGTCAGTCTTCCCTGCGGTTAAGCTCCGTCTCTGTTTTGAATCATTAATGCTGTCAGGAAACAGGCACAGCATGTGCTCACACATAATCAGTCTTAAACACGCACAGCACACACATGAAAGATGGCCAGAGAACATCTGCTGCGCGTACAGTAATACAGATATTAGATACTGAAATGATGCTGGAGAGGTTTTAAATGGAGACTCTCAAAGTGGATCTCACCTCCCTGATCTGTTTGTAAATCAGCACAATGGCCACTCTAACACAAAGTGCTTAACTGACGTCATTTTTTAATATTTCCATCAAGGCCTCAGCAAAGCAGATACTGTAGATTATTATTTTTAATGGTTTTTAACCAGAATGAACATCTGCTCACAAAATGGTTCTTTAATCCAAGAATGCAGAATCTATTGTGTCCTAGAAAGGAAGATCCTCTTTAGTTGTCTTGGGAATTAGAGAGCAAAAGAGCAGCATCTTTACAGCTTCAAACGGGCTCTGTGCTTGACAGCTAAGTTGTTTATCCCCCATCTGTTTCCACCAGTTTTATGTTTTATAACTTGAGCTCTCTTTGGGTGAAGCTTGTTGTTTTCACTATGAATCATGGGGATTTCCATTTGTTTTCATTGGCTTAGTCACCAGCTGATGCATCCTTACATGTATCTGATGCAAACCTCATGGACATCGAGTTACACTCGGGTGTTTATCCTTGCACTTAGATGCACCAGAAGATCTAGAAAGATAGAATCAGACAA